GTAAGAATGATTATAACTTCTATGTACAAAAGATAAATAGTTAGTAAAAAATCTCTTTATATTACATTTGCACTTGTTTTATCCAAAAGCGCACACACAAAACATTCCTTAATTGACTCTAGTACCTCTAATTCTGTTACATTGATTCTAGCTTCTTGCAGTGGCTAGTTCCAATCCAACGGGCTGATTCTAGCTTCCTACAAAGGCTGGTTCCAATCCAGCGGGACGATTAGTGGTTAGATCGCTTGGTTTATTGTCAATCCTCCATTAACGTATGTAGCTAATGATGTGGTCTAATTTTTTAAAAGGAAAATTTCGTATAGAACCTTAATTCTTTATCTTATTTCACGGTAGACTTTTGTAACAATCCTAAAATTTCAAAAAAAAAAGAAAAAAAAAAAGGAGAAAAGATACTTTTAAATAGGTGATGGTCTGTTTGAGTATGATGGTCCTTGGGGACCATCACTATTTTCAAAAGTTTTTACTTGGTTTAAACTTTTGCTTGCTGCTTGCCACGTCCTTTAATAGACGTGGTTTTCATATGTTAAAAACAGACTCTTAACGCGACACCTCAGGTATGAGGTAGAGCCTAATAAAATAATATAATAATACGTTATAAGAATTTAAACAGGGGAGGTGAGCACTCCCACCCTAGAAAATTTTGAGATCTCTCTCTCTCTCTCTGGTCGAAACACAGTGAACTCCTCTCTTGAACCGAATTTTTTATCGGAAGCTCCCCCTCAAATATTTGTGGGTAAGTGACATCGTTTTCTTGAAAAATAGTCTATTTTTAATAAATAGTGATATTTCCATCTAGGATCTTTATTTTATAAGTTTTATGTGTAAGTGACCTCATTGTCTCGAAAAATAATCCATTCTTTTTAAAAATAAAATGAAATAATTATTTCTGCTTATTATCATGAATTTGAGGTGCGATAAATTTTATGCGCACACGACCTCATTATCTTGAAAAATAATCTTTTTAATAAAAATTGTGATATTTTATCTATGTTAGAAATTTTAAATGCTGTAAATTCTTAGAAAAATAAATTTATTTATTTTTCTTGGCTATTGTTAGAAAATTTTAGATACTATCAAATTATTAGAAATAAATGTGATATTTCTGCTTTTAGTAAAATTGTGATATTTCTTTCTACTGTTTTGAATATTTAGACATTGTAAAATTCATGTGCAAATGACTGCCTTATTATTTAAAAATTGATATTTTTGCAATTGATTATAGTATTGTTGTGAAATGTTTATTCGTGGATTGATATCCCATAAATTGTGATAATTCCA